TTGTTTTGGTTGTACTGGGATTTTGGACTCACGCTTCCATGCTTGTGAGGCAGGTGCTCCACTGAGCCATGACTCCAACCCATTTTTGTACTGTGTATTTTTGAGAGTCTCACTTCCAGCATAGGCATGGGCCTGGATTGTGATCCTCCTGTTGTAGCTGAGATGACAGAAATGGCCTCCTGCTACCCCCAGCCCCACCTTCTGTGGAGGGGTCTCCTGGGCTCTTCTGCCTGGGTTTAGCCTGGAGCTGCAATCCTCCCAGTCTCAGCCTTTCAAGAGGTTGTCAGTCTTGAGGACTTTTCTGCCTGGACTGGCCTCAGGCTCTGGTCCTGGAGATCCTTATCTTCTCAGCCTCCTAAGTGGCTAGAATGACAGCCATGAGCTGCCACACCCAACTTCTTCAGGTCATTTCCTGAATCTTTTCTTTGATTTCAATTATTTGTCTTGCTTGTAATATTGCTAGAAAATGCTTCCTTAAATCAGGAGACTAAATTGCTATTTTACTAAAAAATAAAAAAATACAGGAATCCGGAGGAGCTTTATGTCAATCTCAGGATGCAGTGAAAGCAGGCAGCATGCACTCCACCAGGGGGCAGTCTTCATTTCTTGCTGAGCAGACTTAAATATGGCTATGATTATGTAGTGTAACTCAACAGTTTAGAATATAACCCTCAAAATAATGTACGCAATCTAGAGCTGTAGATGAGGCTCTGGGTCTGATGGCTATGATTATGTAGTGTAACTCAACAGTTTAGAATATAACCCTCAAAATAATGTACGCAATCTAGAGCTGTAGATGAGGCTATGGGTCTGATCTCCACCCCAACACATACAATCTATGTATGTATGCATCCATCCATCTCTCTCTATCTTCCTACCTACATGTTTAAAATTATGTATATATATATATATATGATATACATGTGCTAGTTACATTTATCTTAGTATGTCTATTATTAACTATTGACTATAATAATACCCAGTTAATAGTGGAGCTTGTTTTTCCCTTTTATTTATTTATTTTTTGTGTCCGGTCGTGGGGCCTGAACTCTGGGCCTTGAGCTCTTCAGCTTAAGGCTAGTGCTCTACCACTTGAGCCACAGAGCCACTTCTGGCTTTTTTCTTTTTGCTTATGTGGTGCTGAGGAATCAAACCCAGGGCCTTGAGCATGCAAGGCAAGCGCTCTACCACTGAGCCACCTTCCCAGCCCTGTTTTTCCCTTTTAGATGATCTACAATACTATGGACCCTGCAGGGTACTGACTAACTACTGACTTAGTCTGTTGGGCACTGTTTCTCCGCTTACCACATAATGTGGTTGTGCTTTCTTGGTATAGACACAGTGAACTTTCATAGAGACTTCTTGAGGGCAGAAATATCTTTTTCCATGTTTTTCAGGACCTCCTGGTTTAGAAAAAGTTCTCAGTAAGTATTTAAGAAGCAAAATTCTTGTTTTCAAATGAAACTCATGTCTTATTTTTGATATATTTGTATAAACAGTACAGAAAAAGGTAACACACAGAAGATCCAAATTCTAACAAGTGAGTGTGCATGAAACAGGATTAGATGGGATTGAGGCAGATTGTAGGGCATATATCAAGTGAAGTTAAAAGCCTAGCTTGAAGCCAGCCTGAGCAAAAAGATTAGCAAGATTCCATCCCTACCAACAAGCCAGGCATAGTTTTATACCTATAATTCCAGCTACATAGGATAAGTAGGACAGTGGTTTGAAACTGGGCAAAAAACTGAGAGCTTAGCTGGGTGCTGGTGGCTTATGCCTGTAATCCTAGTTACTAAGGAAGCTGAGATCTGAGAATCACGGTTCAAAGCCAACCTGGGCAGGAAAGTCCAGGAGACTCTTATTTCCAATAAACCTCTAGAAAACTGGAAGTGGCGCTGTAGCTCAAGCGGTAGAGTGTTCATTCGCCTTGAGCTGAAGAGTGCAAGGACAGCACCCAAACTCAGAGTGCAAACCCACAACTGACCAAAAAAAAAGAAAGAAAAAGAAAAACCTGAGAGCTTATCTAAAAAGTAATTTAAGCAAATAAAGGATGGGAGTATGGCTCACGGTAAAATGTTTGTCTAGCAAGTTGAAGGTCTTGAGTTCAAACTCCAGTACTGCTACAAAAAGGAAACCCCTAACAACTTTCTGTGTGGGCCTAAGACACACCCCACCTCTTCTGTGGCCCCTTCAGTATCAAGCAGAAAGACAGGCAGGGAATTTCTTTGCTTCTGGTTTTGGGATAAAGAGACAGAGCTTTGGCTGGAGTTACGACAGCACACTATGAACCTTCACAATTTTAGACAAATTCTTTAAATCCTTTGAGATGACTAGTTTTCCACATAAAACTGCAAAATCCTGAAGAGCAGTCCAAAGGAATTTGGAGTGGGTTTTAGGCATTCCTCACGTGCATTTTCCTCTCACAGAGGCTCTGGTCTCAGCGTTGGCCTGCCCATCCCTTCATCCTTAGATCCTCTTTTCCTCTTATGGCTATTCTGAGAAGCACAGGCTCCAAGATGACTTTTCCTTTCTGGTTTTGCTGGTGGTCCATGCTTCTTTAGTTTCCAATTAAGGGACTTGGGAAAATACTTCAGTGGATGTTAAAAGTCTAAAGTCTGTTTCAATGTCAGCTGAAAAAAAAAAGACTCTAAAATGTGTTAAGAAAGCATGCTTAGCGCCAGGTGCTGGTAGTTCAAGCCTATAATCCTAGCTGCTCAGGAGGCTGAGATCTGAGGATCCTGGTTCAAAGCCAGCCCGGGCAGGAAAGTTTGTGAGACCCTTATCTCCAATGAAACCAGAAAACCAGAAGTGGTGCTGTGGCTCAAAGTGGTAGAGCATTAACCTTGAACAAAAAAGAGCTCACAGGCAGCGTGTAGGCCCCAAGCGCAAGCCCCACGACCAACAACAACAACAACAAAGAATGCTTCGAATGAATTGTTTTTCTAAGGGCCACAGAAGCATTCTTTCCTTTAGAGCAGTGGTTATTAAGGATGCAATGGAGTATATGGTATTTCCCAGGAAGCATACCTCCCCCCATACTCATGTGCACTCCTTTGGTTCTCTCTAGCACTACTGGAGTCAGTAATAGAATGGCCACTGATTCCCTTGTGCTACTCTTTTTGTATTTAAGATGTGAAGAACACTTCCATTTAGAGTTGTACAGAAATAGAAGACAGTATTTTGCTTAAATTACATTATTTATTTAAATTATCCCTCTTACTCCTGCATGCACTGTTAGCACAAAAAGTCAACCTTGGTCACCACCTCCTTTGAAGAGGGCACAGGTGGAGGAGCAGCATTGGAAGAGATTTTCCACAGATGGCCGAGAGCCTCAACCCCACGCTGTGGTAACACTGCCAGAGACTTGCACAACGTTCATAGAAAGTCCACCCAAACTCCTGTTTAATGTAAACAAGGCAGGAGGCGCACAGACTATTACATGACACTATTTTACAGGGCACAGCATGATTACCTATCAGGTTTTAACATAGCCAATGCCATCATGACATGCGTATTTCCATTTACTGGACAACCCAAAATACAACTACCATATAATTTGTGGTTTTAATGCTTTGCTGCAACTTCTTCTGTCAATACCTATGAACATCACAATTAGATGGTAATTGCTTAGTAATTCAAAAATTTATGAAATGTTACTGTAAATTTATGAAACAACTGTAATTTGTGCCCCATAAAATTAAGTGTAACAATCTTTACACTAGCAACGGTGTAGCAAGCTAAGGATTTTGGTCCTTACACACATACACACATACGCACACACACATATGGTACATATATAATAAAGATACAATTAAACCAAAAGTCATGAATCCAGGCACAGCTTCCATATTGCACAGATACATTGTGAGAACATTACATAGATCTATCTAATGGGAGAACTTAATGATAATTGACAGACAAATCTGAGTTCTATCAGGTAAGGAATGTGGCTCCTTACTAAAATTAAACCCAAAGAATACTCTGTTAGAAACTTTGAAAAAAATGTGCATATCTATTTATAGCAATGTGAAGGAAGGGCAAAATTTAGTCTGCAAGTTGCTATGGCAACTGGTTGTAAAGGGACACTTTTCAACCAACACAGTGCATCTGAGTCACTGCTTCTGCAAGTACCAAGTACTGGAAACAGTCAGCTTAGGGGCCACGGTGAGGAAAAGTGATGTCCATGTGTCCTAACAAGGCCAGCTCGCTGTGACTACTTGTGCTGGCTCTGGGTCTGAACTAAAATACATAAACAGGAAAGAAACTCAGAAGAGGAACAAATTAAACTTTAAGCTTTAGCTGGTTACAAATCAAAGCCACAGTAACTCTAAAGCAGCTTCAACACAAAGAAATAAAAGAGTTAAAGCTTTTCTGTGCTTGGTTTCCTGGCTTAGCTATAGGGTCCCATTGTGAAATCAGGGATAAAAGAATATTTGGTTTGTGAGGTAACATCACTGCTATTCTACTTCCTAAGCATGATGAACACATTAAGAGCTATCCAGCATCTTGTAAATGCCTTATTTTGAATACAGCTACATCCAAATGACTACATCTAAAATGGAGGTGATGCAGGGTCCCTTGACTAAACTAATCAATAAATACAATTCCTGTTATTCAAAGTCTCTGCTGGGGATCATGCATGAAGAAACTGCTTCCCAGTTTTGCTGTCTCATTGGTTGGCTTAATGAACATCTTATGATGAATTAAGAAAGAGTTGCATTATGTTTGAAGTTTTAACAATGGTGGGCTTTCCAAAGTGGAGACTATTCACAATCTTCTACTATTTTATTCTCCACTGGGCACTGGTGGCTCACGCTTATAATCCTAGCTACTCAGGGAGTTGAGATCTGAGGATTGCAGTTCAAAGCCAGCCCAGCAGAAAAGACTGTGAGATTCTTATCTCCAATTAATCACCAAGAAGCCAGAAATGGAGCTGTGGCCAAAGTGCCAGGGTGCCAACCTTGAGCAAAAAAGCTAAGGGACAGCACCCATGCCCCAGGTTCAAGCCCCAGTACTGGCACACACATAGATACCAATTCTCAATAAATAGCCAAAACTAAGTATAAATTAAATCAGAAACATGAATACAACAAGCAGGCAAATGCCTGTGGGGATTCTTTGCACAGGACAGGTGCGGTGACCACACTGCAAAAACGCTTCTCACAGTGTCTCCTCCAAAGATCAGAAAGTGGGAAGGTAAAGCGGAAAGTGCTGCTGCTTAATATTTCAATTTAAAATAAAAAAGAGCTTATAAGCAACATTTGAATGATAAACATCAATGACAGAACAAACGGGAAACACAAGCTGTCAATCACACAGAGCAGGCTGGACACAGGACAGCTTGCTAACTTAGATGGTCCTGCCCACCTGCCTAGTCACATGACGCCTTCCCCACACCCTGTCACATGTAAACAAAACATTTAGAAGGCTGTTTTCTTTAATGTCTTTAGAATTTTTTTTTACGACAAAAGACTGAACACAATGAAAAAAATGTAAACATTAGGAGGCCATTGGCATGCTGATTGCTACCTAAGTGTTACCAGCCAGTCGTCCACCTAGGCATCACCTTGCGCTTCAATAAGAAAATCAATTATAAAGCAATTTCATAAAGCAATTTTCGGAGAGGGAGAGAGGAGGACGAAAAAGAGTCTCAACTTAGAACATGTTAATTAGCGTAAAAAAATACTATTTTAGCAAACATCACCAATCATGAACCAATATTGAATGCTGTTGCAAAAGTGACAGTTTAAATAAACAGGAACCCATACGTGAAAACCAATCACTAACATGGCCGTATGCACAAAAGATAAAAGAATGCTTCTTTAAAAATATAGATAGTATATTAATCAAGAATTTATCATATTAAATTGTTATTCTTAGAAAAACTGAATAAAGTTATGCTGCGCTACACATTTTTATCTCCTATAATCAATATTAACATTAATAATTCACTTGATGGTTCCTGAATAACTTCTTTCTCATTTACAGTTTTTTAAATATTTTGTTTGATAAGAACCTTAACCTTAAAAAGTTATAAAATTAGTGATTTTTTTTGCTACTTATTAATCCAAAAGAATATAAGCATTTGAGTCCCAGAGAAAGCCAAAATGCTTTGCTACCCAAAGGATATTAAAGTAACACAAATATCCTCAAAGTCATGACATCAGAAAATTTGTAGCTTTTCAGTCATTAGAAATGCTTATTTCCTGAAGTTCCTTTGATTGTATCCTGGCTTTGCCAGCATGCAATTCTGTTTGGGAACCATAGATAAAGCCAATGAAAACAACATGTAGCACATTCTGCTGAGTGGCTACTCAGCTGGTTCTTAACGGTTCCGTCCAGTTTACAGCAATACTTCATTTAAAAGGCGGTTTGTCCTCTCCTGTGGGGAGGGATAAGTCTTTTCTGATGAAATGTCCACAATGGCACAGTTCCAGAGACCTGAGAGATGGTATTCATGGTGTGGAGGAGGCGTGGTATTTCACAAACGCAATGGCTGCCAGCTCCTTGCAGAACTCTTCTAACACAATCACACCCTCTAGCAATGTGATGTGGTCGATACTGGAAAAAGCAGACATGGAAATCAGGACATCTGTCAGCACATCACTTACTGCATGTGGTGCAAGTTTTGGATAGGAGAAGGTAAAGCACTGACTTACATGGGGCCTTCAGGCTCCAAACCCAGCAATCGCTTTCTGACTAGTAGAAGCTTGGGAGTGAAGTCTTGAATACGTTGAATTCGAACCATGAGGTCTCCAACAACCTGCACAGAAACAGGGAACTTGAGGTTCCTGAAATTGACTATGTAGGGATGGTCTTGGATACAGGTAACTTCCTGTTCTACCTCTAAATAAAGAGCCTCGGTTTTCATTATTCCATGGCCATCTCTGACCAAGGAGTCCTATCCATTCTTTACAATATAAAGGTTTTATATTGTAAAGGTTTGTTTTTATGTATTTTTTTTGTCAGTCCTGGGGCTTGAACTCAGGGCCTGGGTGCTATCCCTGAGCCTCTGTGCTCAAGGCTAGTGCTCCACCATGTAAGCCACAAGGCCACTTCCAGTTTTTTTGAGTAGTTTATTGGAGATAAGTCTCACAGGGACTTTTCTGTCCAGGCTGGCTTCAAACTGCAATCCTCAATCTCATCCTCCTGGTGGTGTGAGCCACCAGCATCTGGATGGTTGTATGTGTGTGTGTGCCACCAGCATCTGTGTGTGTGTGTGTGTGTGTGTGTGTGTGTGTGTGTGTGCGTGTGCACCACCAGCCTCTGGCTGGTTGTGTGTGTGTATTTTTAAAGAATGAGCCCCACACGTGCAACAGATCAGAATGTATGGTAACAGGTATCTACTATTTTCTATCTGACTATGTTAACCACATACCATGACAGGAAGATGTAACTGGGACAGGCTTATCATTCCTAAGGAACAGAATGGAACTAAACTCACCCTGACGATTACAGAAAACAGGGATCGACAGCCAGAGGCAAGGTTCACATAGGGATCCAGCAGGTATTCGTGTGTGTGTGGATGAGGGAAGAGGGAGAGTCTGGACAACACAGACGTCACCTGTAAATTCACATCATAGGGCTGTGGGGAGCAAAGGACAGAAAGACAGGCAACATCACTTACTGCATACACAAATGTGCATTCAACTGATCACTTCAATTTGTCTTATCAAGAAAGGAAAATCCTCCACCTGCTCACCAAGATGTGACACATAGAAATATCTGTTTTATGCAGGTTGAACTAACTAATGAAACAGTGTTTAAGAGGTCTCACACACACACACACAAAAGCCAATGTGTCATATAAAAGTCATATAAACACAGCCAGTCACCCGTGGCTCATGATTGTAAGCCTAGCTACAAGGGAGGCTGAGATCTGAGGAACATGGTTCAAAACCATCGTAGGCAGGAAAATCCATAAGATTCTTCAATAAACTACTCAGAAAAAGCCAGAAGTGGTGTTATGGCTCAAGTGGTAGAGCACTAGCCTTGAGCAAAAGCAGTTCAGGGACAACACCCAGGCTCTGAGTTCAAGCCCCATGACAGGAAAAAAAAAAGTATTAAATACAAACCACCAGGACATATTAAACTAAAATCAAAGAAAAGAGCAGGCATTTTCTCCCTTACACACAGAAACAGATGCTGGGGTTAGTTCCCCCACAAGGTGATGGCTGTCAGTTCCTAGACAGTTGTGCTATGTGATACAACACATTTGGCAGGCACTGGTAACTCATATAATCCTAGCTACTTGGGAGGCAGAGAAGGGGAAGTTTGTGGTTCAAGGTCAGCCCAGGCAAAGAATCTCCATCTAAACTGACAGATGGGTGACATATCCTATACTGCCATCCGTGCTATAGGAGAGGTAAAGATATGAAGAAGCACAGTTGCTGGCCAGCTGGGGCAAGAGTTTTTGAGACTCTATTCTCAACAAGAAAGCTGGGTATGGTGGGGAGTTCCTGTCATCCCAGCTATGGTAAAAAGTATAAGTAGAAGGACTGTGCGTGGTCCAAGCTAGCCTGGGCAAAAAGAGAGACCGTATCTCAAAAATTAGAGTGAAAAGGCTAAAGATGTGGTTTACATGGTGTGGTGCTGACTAGCAAGTGCAAACCCAGAGCTTGAAGTCTTGTACTGCCAAAAAAAAAGCACCAAAAAACAAAACAACAAAAGAAAAAAACCTCACAAGTTTTACTAGAAATCTAGTTGTTAATTTATTTCTCCACAGAAAGCAACTTGGAAGTAGGTTCCAGAGTTGGTCAACATAAGAACAAAAGGAACACTTTTGTATACAAAAAAGCTTCTGTTAAATACTTTCACCAGAACCTCTCATGCCTTACACTGTCTTCTTCTAAGCAGCCAAGGAGACTGATTGGTGGCAACAAAACCCACAAGCTGGATGAGGACTCTATTCCCAAATTCATTTCTCCTAGCAGCTGGTGGCACACACAGCCACCTATCAACTGAGGGCAATTCTCATCCACTGTTAAAGTAAATCAGGCCCTTTATGCCAGCTCTCTCCTTTACATGTTCTGGAGCAAATTCATAATTTTTATGAGGCCAGAGTGGCCAAAATTCAGTTTGCAATGACATTTTAGACTTTCTGAATTGAGCCCAACAAGTTTTATTCTACTGTGTCTATATTAACCAGCTGCTCTCTCTCATCACCTCCAGCACTGTGGCTAGCATGGAGGCAAGGCACTTGTCTTCAATGGCTGTATGGACATCACATAATGCCCTGCACATATGGAACACATCAGACCTCCACCAGGTGGGGACAATAAAGTTTTATGAAAAAGTCATGTGGTGGAGAAATGAAGAAAATAAAGGTACTTGGCTGAAAACTTACACTAAGACCTGCCATAGTGAATGGTAGCACACCCACACAAAAAAATGGAGAAATTGGTATTTTAAAATGTTATTACCTGATCGAGAATTCTTCCCATTCTGTCAAATAAGACTTTCAAAAAATGACCTTCAAAGAAAGCAGCTTCTAAATTACACTTTTCCAGTGCTTTTGGAGATCCAGGCCACTCCCATCTTAAGCAGATAGCACAGTAATCCCGGAACTAGGGAGGAAAATGTTTAGATCATTAAAGAACTACCAAGAAACAGACTGAGATGAAATAGAAATGCTTTGCTCCAAGAAGTATCTGAAGATCGCTGGCTTCAGAGGGGGCATGATGGGGCTCAGCGTGGTAAAGCCCATTATTTAGGACCTAGGAAGCAATGGCTTCAAATTTTTATCTTTTTTGTCTTGTTTCTTTTTTTTTTTCTTTTTGCTTATGTGGTGCTGAGGAATCGAACCCAGGGCCTCATGCATGCAAGGCAAGCACTCTACCACTGAGCCACCTTCCCAGCCCTTGTCTTGTTTCTAACATTTCTGTAATCATTATAATAGTTGCATTTGTTATTGCAAAATGGAAATGAAGAAATGTTACATAAACAATAAAAGCAGCTAAACACTCAAATGCTATTCTTAAAGGTAGTTTGTTATTAATTGTGTGACTTGACTAGCATGTGAACTTGGCTCATCCCAGTAATAAGTTACAGGTCAATGTAAACTTGAATTCTGTTTCAAGTACTGTGGATTAACTACATGCTGAGGAAGATGAATTCTATGCTAGCATGCTTCAACCTAAAGGATTTCAGTGAAAATTATAATTCTTCACTTAAAATTTCCCTGATTTGAGAAACTTTGAATTTGAAAACTACATATTTGGAAATTTACTTTGAAATACTGAAATAGTCTAGTTGCTTATTCAACAAATACCAAATAGGTATAGTGTTGTAAAACATACACAGCCTTAAACTACATGTACTATGGGACTCAATGGTAAATCAAGCACAAAGTCAACCCTCAGAGATCAATTACCTTCTAACCCTAAACAATAATGACAACACAGGGCAATAATAGCTGCAGCAATGTCACAGAGAAGGGGAATATCATTCCCTTCTAGGTGGGGACGAGGACAGAGCTGCTAACTTTCCTGCTGGAGAAAATGTTAAAGAAAATAAACTAGGAGAAGAAGCCTTGAGGAGTTTCAAACAGAGGCCCAAGCAAGCTCAGCAATGTAGCATGATACAAGATTAAGACACAAAAACCAACTGTATTTCTATACATAGCTATCAACAACTAGAAAATGAAATCCAGAATATTTCACATATGGTATTATCAAAAACAATAGCCAAGTGTGGTGGCTCCTTCTCCGTAATCCCAGCTCGATGAGAGGTGGAGATTAAGCTAAGGCAAAAAGTTAGTGAATCTGCATCTCAACCAACAAAGCTAAGGAAGATGGCACACACCTGTCATCCTGGCTAAGCAGGAAGCTAGGAGGATCACAATCCAGGCCCACCTGGGCATAAACATGAGACTCTATTCAAAAACATAACTACAACAAAAAGGGCTGGCTGAATGGCTGACATGGTAGGCCACTTGCTAGCAAGCGTTAAGGCTCTGAGGTCATACCCGACTATTGTCACGAAAACAAAACCAAAACAAAAAGACCCCGAGGAATAAGTTCAACCAAGGAAGTATAAGACTTGTCCATTGTTGAATAATATCAAAGTCAACCTGTGCAGAAGGAAAATAAGTGGAAATCAGAGAGAGAGTTCAGTCAGAGAGACTGAAAACACATTAGGGGCTGCCAGCTGGGTTAGAGAGGTGGGAGGAAGAGGTACCGGGAGCGGGAGGGCCTGTTCTGTTTCTACAGGGCTTCTTTCAGAAGTGACAAAAATGTTCTGGAATGAGCAGTGATTGGTGACAGTGGCACAACACTGTGAACATACTAAAACCCACCAAATTGTAAAAATTAAAATGTTGATATACTAAGATAAATCTTAGCATAAATTTGGTTAAAGGAGAAAAGAAGTATTTAATACCTGTTTTATTTTTAACATTTTCCAGTGAAAAACGCTACAGAGCAAAGACAACACTAGCAGACCTTGGAGAAATCAGTGTCTGTGAGGCAGGCAGGGGAGTGAGCAGTGGAGACAACACTGACTTCCTGTCTGCACAGAACTGGGGAAAAAGAGGACAGGAGCCTGTGGATGGGGCCTGGGTAGCTGTGGGAGGCTGAAGATACCAGGTCTAGGATGCATAGGGGAGATGGATCCAAGTGAGATACAATTCAAAGTGAAAAGTCAAACACCACAGATGATGAAGCAATGTTGAGATGGAGACCCAGTTAGTGACATGCAACTCAGGCTACCCATACAAGCATAGCCAGTGCCAGCAGGGTGCAGGTCTTGTTTCTGAGGAGAGTGGACTCACTTCTTTGTAGTAATGACTGTGGGCAACTGGACAACGTGATGAGGCGTGTGCCCATTCTTAGATTTCATGGCCAATAATGATGTCACTTACCTGCCTATGAGCATCTCGGAGGTAGGTGTCATATCCAGTGCCCTCAACATGGTATGATGATTTTGCTTCATCTGGTACCAGACACAGAAAACTTAAAGGAAAAAGGCCATGATCACCCACAGAAATACTCTTGGAATTCAAGAAGATCTTTCTATCCAGTAAAATAACTAGTGGTATTTTCAGTTTAGCTAAAGATACAAACAATGGAAACTTGAAAACTAAAATTGAGTGTTGTCTTTACTTGAATTAACCTTGTAACTTACTAAATATTCTTTCATTATTTTCAAGTCTATTACAAAATTACTAATTCCATTTAAAATAGATAAAAGCCTAAAAAAGACTTTTTTCCATTTAGATTACTAGGCAATGACAGACTGCCATATTTGTTAATCTCCCAGACAACTGGCCCTTCAGTAACTGAACTTGAGAGAACTTTAGATACAATTTTGCATTTTGAGCCAGATACAATTTTTTAATATTAACTGACTTAGGCATGACACTGACAGCATTAAAGGGAAGAAAAAAATAGGAGAAAAATTTCACAGAAATGACACTGAAAGAGAAGTACAACCATGAACTGAAGAAAATGTCTAGCCCTATGCCTAGTCTATGTGGCAATTCTCAGTGTGGTAAATTTTGAGAATTACTTACAATTAATTCATTTATATAGAGAAAAGCTTGAGGGTTTACTCAATCATATTATTAATTTTTTTTACTTTATTTGCTTTTTTGTGTTTCCTTTTTTGTTCTTTTGTTATTATTACTATTATTAGCAGTAGTAGTAGTAGCAGTAGTAGTAGTAACAGTAGTACAACTACTGCTCCTATTATTACTTTTTTAGGTCTTTTTCTTTATTTTATTTTTTTGCAGTGCTGGGCATCTAACCCTGAGGTTTGTTAAACACACTAGAGCTACATATACCCTACAAAATAGAAAATGGATCCATGAAGCCTTTTTTCTCCTGGTATACCAATTGTTGCCATTGCTGTCACCTGTTACATAATCAAGGTGAAAAAAGTTGACATACTGTTCAAGGAAGACTCAACTCAACCAGAAGCAGAACTGGTATATACCAAAAGAAGTTTAAAAAAATGTATACTGCTACTCACCTATTTACAATTTTATGGACTTCAGTCTTCCCATCATTTCTGGGGTGATCTGGACTAGTAGAAGGTGAAGAACTCAGCCACTCTTGGTTTGACAAAGTGTTATCTGGTGAAATGTCAGTAAATAATGGATCTTCTTCCAGATCTCTAAGTTTAATTTAATGATGTACAAAAAACATTTATTACCATGTTTTCTAAGTCAAAAGAGTCTCTGCTGTGTTTGAAGAAAATATTACTTAATTTTCTAACAGAAAGACTTAAGATATAATGTATTTATATTACAGACGATCATTTTGTGGTAATAATCTCGAGTATCTATGCATTTTGTTACTAGGTTTAAGGAAGAGGTAATATCTCTTGGAATTTAGAATGATAGTATCAAAACATTCGATTTTACTTTCCAAAACTTTCAAACTATTAGAAATTAAGAAAAAAATTATTATCATTAAGCACAACAGAGAGAACTAAGAGAAGACAGAAAGTTCTAGCTTTATGAAACATTGAAGTCCCAGATTTGGACAGACACTTACACTGCTCCAGCTATTAATCCATTCTCTACTACATCTTTGTCTTCTGGACACAAAGGTTTGTATTCTGTATAATTTCTTTCTTCAAGATTTCTTAGGACCAAATTGTAAAGAATGTGCTCATTGGGTTTTTGCAAAAGATGTTCAAACATTCTCAGTGTCATTATGCTTATCTGAAATCAAAATTGATTCAAATGAGTTGAAAATAACTTTATAAAAGTTGTTCTTATTGCCATCTTGTAAAAGTCATGCTTTCAGCCTTTCAACACAGTAAAAAAATAAAAAAAGAGTATTTCAAACACTACAAGTATATTTAAATTGGTATTTCCAAGAATCTAGTATGGTCATTACATAGCTTACCTCATCAGATATGTGATTACAATGTTCAATTAACCTATGTCTTAGAGGATGTCTGCTAATTTCTGCCAGGGTTTCTGGTTCCCTCTGTTCTCCAAGGATAAAAACCACCATTTCTTGAAGCAAGACATCCGAGGTCACTTGTCTAACGATGCGATGGAGCACGGCAGTTGATGTCAGAATCCCTATCTCAGAACTGAGCACAACACACTATGGTTAAACGGGTAGGGCTGCAGAGGTGGTGTCTTTTGTCATCATGTGTAAAGGAATGAAGCTACTCACGCTTGCATTAACTGAGGTTCCATGACACCAATGAAAAATCTCTCATGGACAGCTTTGGCAAGAGCAACAGCAGCAGTCTACAACACAGCACGAACACTATTATTATTTTTTTAGTGGGAAGAAAAGTCTAATTTGTAATTTCAATATATCAGTTTCCATCCTCCATCTGAATTAATGTGGAAAGAAAAAACTGCCTGCTGACCATAAGTTAGATTAAGTGTTAGCTATTGGGCTATATACATTTTTAAAAAAAATTTTCAAGAATAAGAGGAGCAGGACAAAAATTATCCCAACAACTTCAAAGTACTAACAGGAGAACTGGAGGGAAGCCACTGATATGAAGTCAGTGCTTGTAAAGCATTGTACCATAATAGGACAGAACTTGACTCCTGAGCTTTTCCAAAACTGTAAACATCACACACACACACACACACACACACACACACACACACGTTCATTACACTATATAGACTATCCTAAGATGATTAAAATATATTCAGGAATATTAACTAAGGGTTCAAATTTTACTTAGTAGAAACTTACATTTTAAAATTATCAATTAAAAAACAAACATTATCAATTAAAAAAACAAACAAAACAGTTCTAACCTTTTGTGCTTCTTTAATGAGCTGATCACAATAATCAAACCAAGAAAAAAAGGAAATTAAGGCTCGTTTTCCTGGGAATGCTGAAGCATCTTCTTTATGACTGTATGAGTCCAAGCTGCAAACATGGAATGGAAGGCAGACATGCCACGTCTAAAGTTATCGAAAGCCAAACCCCATTTTTTTTTTGCCAATCCTGGGGCTTGAACTCAGGGCCTGGGCACTGTCCCTGAGCTTCTTTGGCTCAAGGCTAGCACTCTACCACTTGAACCACAGAGCCACTTCTGGCTTTTTCTGTTTATATGGTACTGAGGAATCGAACCCAGAACTTCATGGATGCTAGGCAAGCACTATACCACTAAGCCACATTCCCAGCTCCCCAAAGCCCAATTTTATATACGGAAAAATGAAGCCAAGTAGGTGAACACCCTCAGAACACATAGTATGACAGAGATCACAATCAGCAGACAACTGATCAAAATAGCCAGAGATAAGAGAAAACCTTTTAAAAGATACAAATCATTTTCTCTCCTTAAGTGGAAAGAGTGAAACTAAAATAGAACAGAGCAGCAAGAGGAAAACCACTTAGCTCCTCCCTAGATTTGTGCCATAAATTTGACCAGGAAATTAATCACAATGGCAAGGTAGCAGTTCTCAGCTGGCAGGATTCAGGAAAAGGCAGGCAAAGGAAGACTGAAGAAGAAACAGACTGGCTGGCTGCTCTTCCTTCCTGCCTTGATGTACAATACTGTTAACAAGATTAGCTAATGGACGTTGGGAAATGTAGTTTCAGAGAAAACAAGAAAAAAAAGGAAGGCTAAGCATTTGGAGAAAACAACAAGGAAATTATATCAAAATTTCAGACGCTGATAGCTGGCCAGTTTACGTACAGTTTTATTCATGGTGCTTCATATTTTCTAGTACATAAAATTTCTGTAATAATCGTATTTTCCTATGAGAACCAATCAAGGTTGGTAGAGGGATGAAAGAATAAAGGAGGAGAGATTTTACAAAAATGGTCCACAGAATGAAGTCTGCTCTAAAGGTTGTGCAAGTTATTTATCAGAAAGGAAAGTCCCTCTTTTTATAAAATAATTAGATGAAGTGATTGGTTTTACAGTAAACCCTTAAAAACAGATCTGTATAAAGCTGGGCACACAAGAGGCACAGGCAGGAGGAATGAAAGTTCAAAGCTGGTCTGAGCTATATATCAAGACTCTTGTCTCAAAAACATTAAGGACTGGATGCAGCTCAGTGGTAGTTTGTTTAGCATGTGCAAAACCCTAGGTTCCATCCTCAGCAACGTCCCCTCCTCCAAGCATCAGTATAATGAACAAACTGTTATAGCTAGACTGATCCTACACCAATTCGTTGCCAAATTCGTTGATAAATTTAATAAAATACTCAAGAAAACATTTCCTTTTAAGATCACTACTAGTGTTCAATTTTTTTTTAAGGTAAAGATTCAAAGATTTCCATGCTTGTAAAAACTGAACCAGACTTTAAAATGTAGGCATATGAGAAAATACAGAGAATGGTACTTACCCCCAGTTAATTGCTTCTACAGATTCAATATCTAATGGATCCAGTGACCGAGGTAGGGCCTTGTACAGAGAGGCGAGTCTGTCTGTCAGCAGTCTGCACAGGCAAGTGCTCTGGGTAAGGCACTTGGCAGCTGCAGGCTCGGGCAGACTTACTAATAACATCAGACCCTCGCAAGCTTTCACAGCTATTCGGCCATCCTGCAGAGGGGAAAACACACCCCTTCAATCCCGAATTAGATACACACCAAATTAAATCCAACATAAAAGGATTAAGTGTGTTACTTTAAAAGACTAGGGTTTTTTTTTTTCTACTTTCAAGGCCTTTGTTTAAAGTGAGATGATGACTCACAGGACTTCTGGTGAGATTCAACAACGAATTCACTAAGTTGTAATCCTGGTTGGGCCGCACAACTGAGGCCTCTGGCAGTGAGGTGACGCTGAGGTCATCCAAGCTTGTAGAAAGGTCATCCACCTGATGCGGGGGCTCCTCCTCTGGCTCCAGGTGCTCCACTCCAGCAGCAGCACACAGAGCCTCTGGCTGACTGGGGCCTCCGGGATCGGCTGATGAGGAATCCTGCCCTTTAAATGTGCTGTCAGAAATTACACTGGCTGTTCCTTTGGAAGCCAATGATTTCATCTTGTTCTGAAAAGGAATCCAGGTTTGTAATGTTTATGTTAGGAACTTTATAAACCAGAACTTGTATTTTCATGGGTTTTTCTGTAATTACTATTCCATATGCCTACAGTAACAGTCAGTGTTAGGCCAAGTAAAAATATTCTAATTTTTAACAAACCATATTTTAGAGAATTTTACAAACACATTGAAATTAATACTTTTGTATGATTATACTATGTCTTACACTGACCATAAGTAATGAGCAATATTAGAAATATCTACTTGATTACGGCTAAAAACAACTTGGTGGACAAAAACATTTCAAGTGTAATTAGTGTTTTCTCTTCACTAGACTATCATAAATATAATCATCCCAATGTTAATTTTCCTAAGATCACAAGGGAAAATGTAAACTCATAAACAAATATGCTTTAAAGTCCAAAAGTTACCAGCATTACATTAACAGTTTTCACAGAGTCCTCAAATTTTCTTAAATATACAGGTACTTTTCCTAAGTTTTTTCCCTTATATTTCTGCTTTCTAAAACCCAAGAAACTACTCTGAGGCCATTTTTATGTGTGTTTGAGAATGATTTGCTTGAAACACTAAAGCACCCTATTCATACATATAGAATCTTACCTGATACAAATTCTTCATTTCAGGGTAAACCTGTCTTACTTTTTCCATGTGAATGTAAGAGCAATAATCACATTTCACAACCTTATTTCATCATAAACCAGATTGTCTACCAAGCCTATCACAACCATCCATTCCGTTATGGCCTTTACTCATCATGGAAGCACATGAAAGGGTAAATGAACTCACAGTCTACTTCCAAGGCTACAGGAGAATAATTAGAAACCACTTCTACTGCTGTTAAACACATTTTCAGAAATGAGTTCACAGCATGTATGTTTAAAAACAAAACAAAACAAAAACAGGGCTGGGAATGTGGCTTAATGGTAGAGTGCTTGCCTAGCACGCATGAAACCCTGGGTTCAATTCCTCAGTATCACATAAACAGAGAAAGGCAGAAGTGGTGCTGTGGCTCAAGTGGTAGAGCGCTAGTCTTGAGCAAAAGAAGCTCATGGACAGTGTCTAGGCCCTGAGTTCAAGCTACACAACTAGCAAAAAACAACAAACAAAAAATAACCAACTCTATGGAACTCAATATTCCAATTTCCTACAAAATCAACTGCATTATCAGTCTTTATGAAAGTAAAAGTTCAGTCCATCTAAAATTCTAACATGATTTCAACCTTGCTGAACTCTAGAGCCAAGGAATTTGTACTTTGAAAAGTTCCCCAGACCAGGAGAAACTGCTATTTTAACCTTTGCACTTTGCTTTCACCACAGATGCCTGTAGTGAAGACATCCATCCCCACAATACATTTGAGCACGGAATACCTGAGTCTTTTAAACCCAGACTTCTCTCCCATACACAAACCTACAGCACTCAATACCAGCTCGCTGTATCCATCAGGATATCAGGAAGACTCAGGGAATCCAGAACCAAAATGCCATCTTCCCCTCATAGCAAGCTTCCTTGGGGCTCCATCCCTTCTCGGTTTCCTGCCCCCCCTCCCCCCAGTAGCTACATAGCACACAGAACAGACCTCCAGCCCCTTCAGTACTAGAACCTTCTTTATCTCACCCTCCCCTACCTGGCTCCCCACTAACTACAGTCCTTGCTGGCTCCTTTTTGTCTGTGGGACTCCATCCACAACCAAGCTGGTCTCCCTGCTTCTGTCTCTTCCCAAAGTAGCCCAAAAGTGTACACCAGATGCTGCTAAGTTCTCAAGGTACAGATACTACTGAGTAATTTTACCTGCTCACACCCATTGGTGGTTTGCCAGTCTATAACTAAGCTTAAATCCTGTCCTACCATTTGAGATAGTTCCTAACCTGTCTGCTTAAGCTCTTTTTTCTACATATTCCAATTATACTATTTCCTCAACACACTTTATTCCTTATACTCATCCAGTCGCATCTAACCATCTGACAAGGCTCATTCCTAGTATCTTGGAACAGATGTCATCTCTTCATCTTACAAACACTTTAAAGTCATTTATTTTGCATTATTCCTTATTTTACAGTTAGATCACATCTAAACAGTTTGAACATTCTTCTTACCCTCTTCATCAACTATAAACTCCTTTGGGCAAAGACCATATGTGCTTAACCCACAAGAGAGATTTATGTTGGCTTACATAAGTGAACAAGCATTAGACTTTAGGGGACACATTATTTTTGTTCTTCTCTATATTTAAAGTAATAAAACTGCATTTCTCTAAAGATTTATTCATTCAGCAAGGTTAATTAAGCAGTTGTTATTATGTATTATGCTATATATAAGAGCAACTGAGGAGAGTCAAAGATTAAGACAGAGTCCTTGTCTCAAGGAGCTTAATGACCAGCAGGAGAAAAGAAAAAGTACATAAAGACTTCTAATGCTGGAGGTGGGGGAGGGAGGTGAAGGGGCAGGGGGGGAGTGCAGAGATGGGAAGGGTTAGGAAGGGGAAACAAAGGAGGAGGCAACAATGCTTGATAAGAAATGTACTCATTATCTTGCCCATGTAATTGTAACCCCTCTGTACGGTATTTTCACAATTAAAAAAAAAAAAAACTTCTAATGCTAGGGAGAGTCTAATAACCAACAATAACAGCTTGTGAATACTCTTCTCCAGGCAAAAGAATAGAGATACCTCCCTTCCCACTTTGGACAAGTAGGTGCTATAAAATGTACATCAAGCAAACATGTCATGGTTCTGAAGGGTGTTGTTTGTAGTAAGATTAAACATAAATGTGTCTCAAGACAAATACATTTCCATTAACACATATAGGCCTGCAAATTTCCTCTGCTTCTCATCTAGGGCTATATACTTCTGAAGCCAGTTTTAGAGATTTTGTGGTAGAAATCTATCAAACTTAAGTTTCAGGAAAATTCTGCACATCTAAAGTACACTAAAAAATAAAAATGAAAAATGAAGTACACTAAAGGATCTAAGATAACTTTAGGGGAAAAAAGGGAATAGAAACACCATTCTTAGGAAACTAATCTACTTTTTATATTTTAAAAAAACCCTAAAAGAATAGTGATGTCCACCTGATGTGAAAGAAATAATTTGTATTATCAAAGCTCATAGAATTCACAAACTTTATAGACCATGATAAGGACAATTTGCCTTGTGAAGGTTAAAATGTGTTTGTGACTTTAATAAGTATCACTATTCCACAATACTGTGAAATATGTGAAATTTATATAATCACCTAAGCTCAATCTAAAAAAAAAAGTGAGAGATGGGATGGGTTAGGAGTGATGGGTGACAATGTTGTCAGACACCTTATATTCATATACTGTTTTGTAGAATGGGAACTACTTTGTACAACTACTTAAAGATATAATAAAAATGTAAAAAAAAAAGAATAGTGCTATCACCTTCATTAACAAATCTTTAGAAGTTTGAAATCATAAGACTACTTGAACCATTTTGAAGTAAGTTTAAAAACTAAGATACAAAATATGATGCACATCATAAGAAATGTGTGTATAGACTTTAACACAAGCTATAAACTTAATTTCATGCAATTTTGGGTCCGGTCGTGGGGCCTGAACTCTGGGCCTGGGCGCTGTCCCTCAGCTCTTTTGCTCAAGGCTAGTAGTGCTCTACCACTTGAGCCATAGCGCCACTTCCGGCTTTTTTCTTTTTGCTTATGTGGTGCTGGGGAATCGAACCCAGGGCCTCAGGCATGCAAGGCAAGCATTCATGCAATTTTGTAGCTGAGCTGCTCACTGTACTTAATAACATCCTAAATTGTTTATTTAATAAGGTGAAACAGAAGACAAACCCACTTATTGGACCGACTAACTTTGAAAAACACTCGAAACTAAAAACCTGACAATCCTGGATGCTGGCTGAGGACATAATCACTGAGATGCACACTGATAAGGCCACATTGGAAGAGAGTTTGGCAGTTCCTTATAAAAATAAATATATACCTACAATATAATCTAGTAATTTTATTACTAGGAATTTTCCCAGGTAAAACAAAAGCCTAAATTTATGCAATCTGCATGGGAAAGTTTACAAAGTACTGGGTTCTGGGTTCCATCTCCAATGCCTCAAAGAAAAAAAAAAAAACAAGCAAAAGGCTTATTACAATCATATAACTTTGCCTAAGAAAATACTTTTGGAACAGAAAACCTAAGTTAAGAGGACGGGGGATTAGAAGAGCATAAGACAAGGAGATGAAACTATTATAAATTTTGACTGTGGTGGGGTTGAGTTTGTGAAACTCAAACTTATAAAATCAGTAGTAGTTAGAAACAGTCTCACCACCCTTACAGGCTCATGTGCTGAAGGCCTGGTCCGCAGAGTCAGAGGGGACTGGGTCATGAAGGCTTTAACCCACTGGGAACTCATAGCTGAATAACTAGCAGGGCCCAACTGGAGGAAGCAGGTACAGGGGACATGTCTTTGAAGGGTTCATCTTTTCCCAGGCCTCTTCCTCCTCTCTTTCTACTTCCCAGCTCCCACAGGTGAACAATTCTCCTTTCCACATGCTCCCTGCCATGAAGCTCTGTCCCAACCCAGGCCCAGAGAAAACAGAGCTTCCCATGGACTGAATAACTCTGAAACCATGAGCCCAAAAAATCTTTCCTCTCTTAAGCAGGTGTTTTTAAACAGCCAAGAAAATTAACACAGAACTGCAAATTAAAAACAGGATTAATCCAGGCACTGGTAGCTCATACCTATACTACTCAGGAGGATGAGGTATGAGGATCACAGTTCAAAGCCAGCCCAGGCAAGAATATCTGTGAGACTTACCTTCTATTAATCACCCAAAAGCCAAAACTGGAGCTGTAGTTTAAGTACTATAGCATTAGCCTTGAATACAAAAGTTCAGTGACAGCGCCCAGGCCCTGTGTTAAAGCCCCAAGATTGGCACAAAAACAGTGGATTATACTGCATGTAACTAGAAACAAAATGGAAAAAAAAGGAAGAAGGGTTTTGTTTTTTTTTAAATGCTAGTCCTGGGGCTTGAACTCAGAACATGAGTGCTCTCCCTAAGTCTGGCTGGCAAAAGATTTTAAACTAAAAAGCAAGATGGTGGGGAGTGGAGGGGAAGAAAAACCTATTTTTTTCTAATCTATTAATAAATTATTTTGCTGATGGAAAAAAACAAGAAAGTGGATGAAAGCAGACTGCCTTTTTTTTTTAAAGCTTTTAAAACTGGAAGTTTTAAAGGTGGCTCAGGCCTGTAATCTTAGCTACTCAAGAAGCTGAGATCTGAGGATCCAGGTTTGAAGCCAGCCTAAGCGGGGAAAGTCTGTAAGACCTTTTACCCACAATTAGCCACCATAAAAAGCTGGAAGTGGAGCAGTGATTTAAGTGGTAGGGTGCTAGCTTTAAGCAGAAACACTCCAGGGTAGCACGTAGGCCCTGAGTTCAAGCACCAGGACTGGCAAAAATACAAACAACAATAACAAAAAAAAATCAGGAAGTGAAATCCAAAGCACTAACTGACTTATCAACTATGACTTGGTGATTAGGACTTTAAAAGAAGAACAAAATACGAAACCCAATCATCCTACTGGACTGGATGGTAAACCACGACTTTGTAGAATGTTTAGACTGGCACCTGCCAAGACCCATGCTGGATGGTAGAGCCAGCCTACCTGCTGCTGGCTCTACCAATCTGCTAGCTTGTTCACCTATGATTTCTCTACCAAGCAACTCTCTGTCCAAGCCTCACCTTTTTGCCTGTCCAGGCTTCATACTGCCCCACAGATCTGGCTCAACCACATTCTTTGAACATCTCTTTTCCCAGGAGATTTCAAGTTAGAATAAACGGTGATATTAAATGTAAAATAATTCTGGGACGTGAAATCAGCTCTGATAACTTACAAAACTAATTCCTCCCAAGATTATTCATAGAATTCAATTTTCATAACGATTTGAATGCAAGCATGTTTTGTAGTTTGAGAAGTGCAGCTTACCTCCAGAAAAAAGTTCACCAGGTAGGGATCCTGTTTCAGCTTTGCACACACGATACAGAGAAACTGAATCTCTTCATTTTCCGTTGGTGTTGCGAGCACTTCCCCACATAATCGAATTAATTTCTGTCAAAAAAAACCTTTTTTAACTTAGAAAGTAGAACAATTTAAAATCTTTAGCCATCTGTTTGCCTTCAGGATATTAAAATTTTCAAATGATTCAAATACTTCACATTAATTAGATAGAGCACTAACAATACACTCACTTATACTAGTAATCTCTTCAAGTTTATTACCATAAAAGGTTGATGGATCCATATCTTAGCTATGGTAAATAATGCTGCAATAAACATTGTTGTGCTAGTAGCTTTAGTGTGGTCTTGTTTGTAAACATTTGGGTAAATGCCCAAAAGTGGGATTGCTGGGTCATAGGGGAGTTCTGTGTGAAGTCTTTTGAGGAACCTC